CAGAACTCTGGAATCATCTGTTTTTAACTCGTTGGTTTTTACCATTGCAATGTGCTCCTGACACGTGCGTCGACGATCCAAATTTTGTGAGAGCATTCACTAGGCGTTAATTACTTAAACTATCTTGTTTTTGGTAGAGCTTTTTCGATGACATAAAGGCAGTTTGAAATTAAAAGAGATTCCCTTTATATTTGGTAGTCTATGATATGTACATTTGTATCCCAACGTATTTTAGTGATAAAGATTTCACAATTTATTTTGTTGAGGTGGTACAAGTCCAATCTACCGGTAGGGAACCTTAAGAAATACCAGACGTTGAAAATCGGCTACCGAACGGAAACAACTGGCTCTGAAAGAGCAAGTGGAGGGAGCTGCATAAAAAATGAAAAAATTAAGACCGCGGAAACTCTCAAACTTTTAGGGGTAACAATAGATTCCAGATTAAAATATTCTGAACATACAAACTCAGCGTGCAAGAAGGCCAGTCAAAGAATTGCTGTCCTCATGCGACTAAGAAATCTAATCCCTATTGAGGCCAAACTCCAACTGTACAAGGCAGCTGTATTACCTCACCTTACATAATGCCACCTAATGTGGCACTTTTGTAGAACTAGTGATTCGCGCAAGCTTGAACGGCTACAAGAAAGAGGCTTGAGAGTGGTGTACAATGAAAAGCAAGCTAGTTATCTTCAATTATTGGAAAGGGCCAAGCTGCCAAATTTGATAAACAGGCGTTTGCAGGACATTTTTATTCTTATGTATAAAGTTAAATATAAACTATACCCAAGTAATATTTGCAATATTTTTAAAGAGCATATTTACGGTGATTTAACAAAATCGCTAAGACCAATCAGAATCAGTTTTCCACGATGGGTGTAATTATTTATAGATAAAAATACAAGCGAGTGCAGAGAGATCAGTAGAATTGTGTCTGAAAACTTTCTGTTTACCTAGAAATGCATTACTTAGACTTTTGTACGCTACAGATAATGTTGATTGCCTTATTTTCATTGTGCGAATTGAAAACTATTTATATATGATTGTAACCACATTACCAAAAGTGGCGGCGATAAAATTTCTCATGGAGGAGGGAGTGGCTTGTGAAATGAAAATGACCCCTGACAATGTCGAAAGACTTAATTGCGCAGCTACAATACGTAAAAGAGTCGTGGTTGAAGGGGGGGAAGGGATAAGTGAAAACAGGCTGTACGATAATATAAAAATCTGTATTGATCCAAAAATTTAGAGAAGTCTTGGATTGGAGAAAGATATTTTTTCATTTTGTCACGAGCGTGGAACAAAGAAAAAATTCTGAGTCCCCACGAGGAATCGAACCTCAGACCTTCGGATTTCCCGGTCCACTGCTCTACCACTGAGCCACAGAGACTCTACGGTAAATAGGGTCTATTACGAAGTTCATATGACACGCGGCCTGCATACTGCTAGGATTAGCAATGTCGATAGGGTCATGTTTGTAAATAGAATGAGAGAGATGGTAAGTTTTTAAGCACGGTAAAGAAATGAAAAAAGATAGTTTTTCGTCTTGTCACGAGCGTGGGACACGGTGAACGAGGTCTATTACGAAGTTCATATGACACGCGGCCTGCCTACTGCTAGGATCAGCAAAGTCTTGAATTATTTGCAACTGTATTATTGCCATCACAGAATTTTATTTTGACCATTTCCATCGCGAGTCCCATTTGATTTTTAATAAAAATAACCTTCCGTCAAACCTAATCAAGCAATTTCAGTTAACGTATTTCCTCGAATAAGCACCGGAGCGCCATTCTAAAATTTCGGCTGAAAGGAGGGGCGCTTCTTGGAAGGAGGGCGCTTAATCAAGGAGGGCGCCTCTTGGAAGGAGGGCGCTTAATCAATAAGGGCGCTTCTTGGAAGGAGGGCACTTAATCAAGGAGGGCGCTTCATGTATCAAACTATTAACCTGTACTGGTTCGGCTGAAGTTGAAAC